AGTCTTTCTTAAGGACACTTTTTATTAATGTAGTGTAGCTTTTGGCCATAAGAAAGCCCCTTAACTTTAAGACAACACGTTGAAAAGGTTTTACTTGTTTGCAGGGATTCAGGTACGTCACGACCAGGAGAGTGGCTACATGCATCATAAATTTGCTATCGTGGATAGAAAGATGCTCATCACTGGCTCCATGAACTGGACTACTCAAGCTATCCAGAATAATCGTGAGAATGTGCTGATTGTGGAGGATGCAGAGTATGTGAAGCCATTCCTGGCAGAGTTTGAAAGGATTTGGGAGGAGTACAATCCAGCTAATTATACATTTTCCCCTAAAGAAGTGGAACAGAAATGACAGCAGTTTTTGGAGCTAGAAATTGACATTCAACATTTTTAAAGCAAGTTTCTTTAATTTTTAGTTATAGTTACAAAGACTGTAGCTTCCTACAAGGGTGAAGTTGTTTACTGTTCAATGAAGGACAAGTTCATTGTGTACTAGATGAAAGTGCTGCATTGCTCTAAACTTCATGGTAAGTAGTGGTGTAGTACAAGGGCCAGCATATTGCAGCAGTAGTGCTGGAGCTCAAAGATAATGGTCACTGCCAGGAACTGGAACAAGCAGAGTTTGGAATGTTTAAGTGTCTTGGCTATTTTGTCAGTAAAATAGCCACTTACAGGTTACCCAGTAATGACATTACAGAATGTGTTATTTCTGGTACGACTGATCATTGGTGGGCACCTGCTTGTTTATTCCATGCATGGCAGTAGAAGAGTGCAAATCTTCCTCCTCGCTCATTCTAAAAGAACTGGGTAAGGGGGCTCTGATTAGAGTTATAATTCACACATGGAGGGAACTAGGTATGTTACTTTATTAGGAGTGGAAAGTGCATTAGGCTTTAAATACGTAAGAGGGTGGTTTGTTGTGGAAAACTTGATTGAGAAGTCAGGAATTTTAAATTTTATTTTGAATGTTGATTGGCCTCCCTCTAGTCTGTTCTTTCACAGTAGCCGCAGTGTAATAAATCCAAGGAAAAAGCCTCAGTGGGGCCGGTGAGTAAATATGGGCAGTGGTCAATCTGTAGAAAATCAAGTGTGGATCTGGCTGTTGTAATAACCTTATGGTCTGAGATAACTGCTTCCCTATAACATGGAGTACAAAGTGTTGAGACATTGTCTCCTGCCTGTACTGGGTTTCTTTCTGCAGCTCCATTCCCTGAGAGACAGCAACTCAGCTTCTTGCTCTTTTCATAGATGTGAAAAGAAGAGTTAACTGTATCCGTATCAGTTGCCCAGCTTGGCTTGGCAGTAGAGAATACAGGATGTCACCTTGCCTATTTTAAACTTCAGGATGGATTTGTAGTTTTCTAGGTAAAGCAAGTTCTCCCCTGTGCAAGCCTCCCCCACACTTTCTTGCAGATTCTAGGTACCAACATCTCCCTGCCCTCTTGAGAAGTAAGCTTCTAAAGTTATTTAACTCCCTCTTCCATTTATGGTAGCAATCTCCTAAATGGAAGTCAGTGGTCAATGGTTTCATTTTCAATAAGTCAAGAATCTATTTCATATCTAGTGGGGAAAAAAAATCTAACCCCACCACCACCACTAAATTCATAGCAGGTCAAGAGTAAAATTGCTCAGTGATGAAGCTAAGTGGCTGTCTTACCATGTTGTGCTCTCTAAAGTGAGAGCAGAAACAGGGCAGGAGGAGTGACTTCCCACTTTTTTCATTACCAGTATTCAAAGCTAGCTTACAGCTCTTGAAGATGCTGGTGTAATGGGCAACAAACTTGTGCCCATGCTTATGTAAACTCTCTGCTGCTTAATGTATCTGATTCTCCCCTCTGGGGTTAAGAGGCTAGTTTTTTTCCATACTCATTACATTTTTGGCTCTTATTGAGAGCATGCTTGTGGTGGTGACCTGGAATAAGAACCAAATCCACCACTTGTTTTTGACATGTAAGTATGTACACTTGAAACAGTGACTTGGAAAATAAGAAGGTTCATGTCTGCCACAGTGAAGGTTTGATTTTAAAACTCTAAAGTTTGTAAAGTGTCATCTTGCATTCTCAGTAACAACCTTTGTTCAAGCTGTAGCGTTTGACTTATTGGTTATAAAAGGAGTTTGTGTGAATTGACCCTTTCTTTATATTTTCAAGCTACCGTGGCTGGTTGTCTTAACAAATGTTATTTTCAATTTACATTGGGCTTAAGCTCTACTACAGTGCCAGTAATTAACAGAAGGCAGAATTTTCAGAATAGAGTGTAATAGCTATGAATCAGCAGTCACTCATTTTTATAACATGTCCCTCTATTTTGAATATTCTGTTAAATTAGTCTTGCCCTCAATGCTGCAAGGTTGGTTTAGTTTGGGGCGCAGTGAGTGAATTTTGATATAGGGTTGTTGTTTTCCCCATGTCAGTTAAAATGGCTTAATCTGTGTAAAACTGGTGTAGTGAAAGTCCCACAAGTGTGGTGCCAATGTCCTATGATAATCAAGAGTGATTAATCCTATTAACCCCCCATTTTGTCTGATTTTGCTGAATTCTCCAAACTGTCTGCTGAGGAACAGGATAGCTCAACTTTTTTTTAGGGCAGTTACATGCTCTTCATCTGTAGGGGTGTGTCTAGACTGGCAAGACTTTGCACAAAAGCGGCCGTTTTTGCGCAAAAACTTGCCAACTGTCTACACTGGCCACTTGAATTTGCGCAAGAGCACTGACTTTAATGTACAAAATCAGTGCTTCTTGCGCAAATACTTTCACACTCCTGCTCAGGGATAAGCCCTCTTGCGCAAGAGGGCCAGTGTAGACAGGAACCTTAATTTTTTGCGCAAGAAAGCCCAATGGCTAAAATAGCCATCGGAGCTTTTTTGTGCAAAAGCATCCTTGCCAATCTAGACGCTCTTTTGCGGAAATACTTTTAACGGCAAAATGTTTCCGTTAAAAGTATTTCCGCAAAATCATGCCAGTCTAGACATAGCCTAGTAGCGTAAGGAGCACCCTATGGACTTGACCTTACAAAATCCTCACTTGTTCCTTGTGGCCAAAGGCCCCAACCAGTAAAGGCAGACATATAACCCCGGTCCCTTTAAAGCACACTAGAGTACTCACAGAGGTCTGGAAGGGATT